TCTTGGCCACACTGGTGCAACATAATCTCATCTTCCAAAGTCAGAGACAATTAGACACTGAGTGGGACCCAGCCCATCTGGCCGTAGGCTGGGAGAAGTTCTAGAAGGAGATTTGATCCAAGTGTGCCATCGTTTGGGAATATAGATGGAGAAAGCTTTTGCAGAGAAGAAAGGACTGGGTAAGGGGTGCAAGCTGGGCACTGAGGTGGTGTCAGGTGCAGCCAGGAAAGTTGTAATGTTGCCTTGTCACCCGGGGGAAGGCCTCACCTCCAACGTCCAGGTGACGGGAGCCAGCCCAAGGAGATAAATGACCTGTCTAGGAGCCCATGGCCAGCAGCCAGAAGAAACCAGCTTGTCAGCCATATTCTACCTAGGCCAGCTCCATGGATGGAGAGGACAGAGCTCCCTGGAGAAGACACGGAGACACAGGCTGGGGTCGGACCCTGGAAGGTGCAGAAGTGCTACGAGGTATTGGCTAACTGCTCCACCTTTCAGAGTGGTGGCAGAGTCCTGCTTCCCCGGGAAACCCCTTTTTTGCTACTGGCTTTGACTTTGCTCCTGGGAGGGGACAGTGCAGGTCTTGAGCACAGGCCAGGCGGGGCTCTACTCTGCCCTCTGGTACTTCTTCTCTGGGTGACCTGGAGCAGATTTCTTATACTCCAGCTGTCCTCAGTTTCTTCATTGTAGCAAAATCTAATAATACATTGCCAGCTGCTGCAGATTAGCTTACTGTATGCTCAGAGCTGGACACATGATCGTGCACAGTAATGAGCAGCTATTAATATTATGTCAGCTGCGGGCCGCAGATACCTCCTCCGCAGTGGTCCCCACTTCAACCACCCAATCACCTCCTAGAGGTGGAGGCTCCAGCCCGAGCTGATGCTGCAGGATGGGGAAAAAGCTTCCAATGATTTGAGACAGGACACTGCGATTTGGGAGATGCCCTGAACGCAAGGAAATCCAGTGACTTCCCTGATCCTGCATCCTACATGTTTTTCACAGCATCGGAGTGGAGCTGCCTATCTAGACAGCTGGTCCCGCTGCGTTCCCCCTCACAGGAGCTATTAGCTGTGTCATGCATCCATTTGTAATGAAATGGAAGTGTTTTGATTTCTCTGGGAAGCCAGATTTTCTCCCAAATCCTTGCTGCTTTCATCCTTGGACATGAAACGGTCCTTTCTAATCTCCTCTGGAGGGGCAGCATTTATAAGGCGTCCATGAAATCTGATCAGCAGCTCTGCTTCTAGGCGGCAGCTTTGATCACTGGGAGGGAGCAAGTTGTCCCCAGCCTGGTGCTAATAGCCCCATGCATTATTGAAGAGCCGTGTTGCAGAGGCAGACACATCCAGGGAGATTTCCAGATTGCAGGTTGGAGTGTCAGCTGCCTCCCTCCTCTTTGGTGACGGAGCTTTGTAATCTGGCAGAGCCACTAAAAGTAGGCACCTGACAGGGCTGTCTGTGCAGCTCACCCCACCCTCGCCAGAGACTAGTTGAAGGGCCGCTGACATGGAACAAGCAAATAAGGTGAAACCACCACTTTCTAATTCTTTCAATTGCTGCTCCTCTGATCCAAATATCTGAGGAATGCCCAGGTCGCGTCCTCGGGAAAGTCATATCTGAGGATGGCACGCACACCTGAGGTCTCAGCTGATCATGGGCTGGGCTAATGCTGAACAACGTCCTCTTACCCTTCAGAGTAGGATACGGATATTCAGATTTTGGGCTAATCGGGGTAAGGCGAAGGTTGAGACTTAATTTTCGCTGAGAATTTGCTGAAAATGTTAAGGGGTGGAGGGCAGGCTCACTGTGCCTCTCCACACTCACCGTCGGCATGGGATAACCTAGTCAAACTCTCTTTTTTTCATTTAAAAACTGTTTTTTTAGATCAACAATGTACCAGTTGTGTATTTTGAACTGAAGAGATAACAATGGGCATGGACAAACAGGAGCCATCTGGCCCCCAAGCTGCAGCCTTCAAGGTGGCCCCAATGACCACTGCCTCCTGGTATTCATGTACTTAGCTCCTCCCACCTCCCTCTCCCTCCTCCTCCCTCCACCCCTATTAGGGTTGACCTAATCAAAAGAATATTGTGGAAACAGAGAGGGATGTCTGAAGTAAGGGACTGTGCAGCTGCTACCTTGCTCCCTTGGACCACCTGTTCTCCGCATGCCATGTTGTGAGGACATTCGAGCAGCCCAAGTAGCCATCTCAGGGGTGAATCTTCTAGCCCTGCTCCTGCCCTGGTCCTTTTGAATTTCCAGCCAATAAAAACCAGGAGATGATGTTTGCTGTTTCAAGCTGCTTCGTTTTAGAACAAAGCAAAAGAGAGCTAATACACTTGCCTGCAACTAGATATTGATAAATAACTATACCACTAGCTCTAAAGTTGTGACTATGAAAGCTGCTATAAACACCTTCATTAGGATGTACTGACCTACTTAGAAAGCTTGGGGAAGGCTCTGGAAGAGAGTCTGATCTGAGGCAGAAGGGTGAATCCAACTAATGTAGGTGAAAAAATTGGGGGAGAACACTTGGGAAGGGAAGCAGTCTGAGCCAAAACCCCCAGTTGGGAGGAGAGAGGGGTACAGAAACTATCAAGGAGGCCCAGGGGTTGCTGCACAGTGAGGGAGAGAGGCACACAGAGGGCCTAGCACAGTGGTGGGGCCTCTGCATCTGAAGGATTTACTACTCAGCCTAAGTGCCATGGGGTCTGCGCCAAAGGGTTTGGAGCAGAGTAAAATGCTCAGATCTATGCCTTTGCGGCTTCTTTAGCTTCTCCAGAGCCTGGCTGGGGGGTTTCCAGGGTGAATGGGGCAAAACCAATGAGAGCGCTGGGGTATCAAGAATCCACGTTACTCGTGAACATGGGGAGAAGTAGGCAGATTGAGAGCTATTCATGAGGTTGAATTGAGGCATTTGGAGGATAAAATGGTCACATAGGGTACAGGGGAGGAAGGTTTCTGGGAAGGGTTTTAGGTCACATAACAACGCTGGTCTGGAGGTCGAATCAGTCTAAGAGATTCAGAGAAATGCATCTAATGTCTGAGCCTGACACTGTCCAGGAAGTGCCTGGCAATCTGGAGGACATGGCCCACCCACCCCTGCCTTTGGGATGGGCCTGCTTTCTTAGTGCTCAAGGTCTAGGGGAGCAGGTGATACCAGAGCAGGACATATGGGGCCTGAAAACTTTTCAGGAGTCCTGTGAGGTAAAATCAATTTTTATTATCACACTAAGATGTTATTTGCTTTTTTTACTCTCATTCTTTTGAATGATAAAGTGGACTGTTCCAGAATCCATGTGGTGTGTGATTTTGCAGTAGATTAAATGCAGAAGCATATATGGTCATCAAGCTGTCTTCTATGAAACTAGACATGAAAAGATTTGCAAAACTGTAAAACAATGCTACTCTTCTCATTAATTTTGTGTTGGAAAACAGTTATTTTTCATAAAATAAGTTATATATGTTAACATATAGCAGGTTTATTATTGCTGATTTTAAGTAAATAGTGCAAACATTTCTCAGATTAAATGTCTAATATGGACAATATTGGCATCTATAACCAATCTAACCAGAAGCTCTTTGGTTTCCTTAATAATTTTTAAGCATATAAAATAGAGATCCAGAGGCCAAAAAGTCTGAGGATTGCTGACTGAGAACAAGAAATCTACTTTACTCTCAGGCCATTTAACTCTTCATTCCCCTCTTTCATCAGCAGCTGAATCATTAGTAAGATGCCACGTTGCTGCACAGCTACCTTGGAAATACCTGCTGCCAAATGGCTGCCATAATCAGGGGGATCCCACATGCTGCTCCCATCTGTAGTGTTCATGAAAACATTTTCTTGGGCTATAACTCATACAGAAACACCACTTCCTGTTTGTAGACTGCTCATATAAGGCAAATGTTAGGATGACCCTAGACATTAAAGGTGAAACTAGGGGTGACTATTTTCTCAACACTGGCTTGTTTTACTTCTCTCATTTGGGGAGTTTCTGGTGACGTTTTCTCTGGTTCCTTACACGCTTCTTTTAATTAGAATACAGGCCAGAGCAATTAGAAAACAACAAGAAATAAAAGGGGTCCAGGTTGGAAAAGAAGTGAAAATATGTTTACAGATGATATAATAACAGATATAGAAAACACTGAAGATACCACCAAAAAAATCATTAGAAATAATAAATGAGTACTGTGAATTGGCAGGCTACAAAATCATTACACAAAAATTTGTTGAATTCCTATATGCAAATAACAAGAAAAAATTGAGAAAACAATTCTGTTGTAATCATATCAAAAGGAATTCAACACCTAAATTTAGCAAAGGAGGTGAAAGACCTATATAATGAAAATTCTAAGACACTGTTAAAAGATACAGAACAAGACAAAGAGATGGAGAGATTTCCATATTTATGAATGGGGAGAAGTAATATAGTCAAAATGACCTTCTTACCAAAAGCAATGTACAGATTCAATGCAATCCCTATCAAAATTCCAATGCTAATTTTTAAGGAAAGAGAACAAAAATAATCACATTTATGTGGAAGTATAAGAGACCCCAACTATCTAAAGCAATCTTGATAGAAAAAAAAAGAAAATGGAGGAATCATTTTACCTGGCTTCAAACTATATTACAAAGCAACAGTAATTAAAGCAGAATGATTTTAGAATGAAACTAGATACATGACCGATGGACTAGAATGGAGAGCCCAGCTAGAAACCCACACCTCCATCGGCACTTACTCTATGATGAAGAGGCCATGGCAGTATGTGGAAAAAGGAAAATCTCTTGAACAAATGGTCTTGAGAAAATGGATTGACCACATGCAAAAGAATGAAACTACATCACTTTCTAAATCCATACACAAAAACAAATTCAAATGGATTAAAGACCAGGATGTATGACCCAAAACCATAAAATACATCAAAGAGAAGATAGGTGACATCTTATGATAATAAACAAATGAAAATACATCAAATTAAAAGTTTTCTGCACAGTGAAAGAAAATATCAGCAGAATAAAAAGAGCCTAGTGAGTGGGAAAAAATATTTACACATCATACATCCAATAAGGGGTTAATATCTAACTAAAATACATAGAGAACTCATGCAATGCAACAACAAAGAAACATACAACCCAACTAAAAAATAGCAGAAGATCTGAATAGACACTTTTTCAAAGAGGACATACAGATGTGGCACATGAAAGAATGTTCATCATCACTTATTATTAGAGAAATGCAAATCTAAACCACAGTGAGATATCATCTCACACCTGTGAAAATAGTTTACATCAAAAAGACGGGTAACAACAATTTGGCAAGAGTGTAGAGAAAAAGGAACCTTCCTATACGGTCAGTGGGAATGTAAATGGGTGCAACCATTTTGGAAAACAGCATGAAACTTCCTCAAAAAACTAAAAATAGAACTATCACAAACCCAGAAATTCCACTTCTGGGTATCTAATACCAAAAATATGAAATTATTACCTCTAAGAGTTATACAGACCACAATGTCTATTGCAACACTGTTCACAGAGTTAAGGCATGGAAACATCCTAAATGCCCATTGATAGATGACAGGATAAAGAAGATGTGGTGTATACACACTATGGAATACCATTCAGCTATTTCCAAAAGATAATATTTTGTCATTTGCAGTAAAATGAAAGGAATGTGGAGATTATGCAAAGCCATGTGACTCAGAGAAAGACAAATATTGGATGATTTTTATGTGCAATCTAAGGAAACAAGACAGATGAAAAATAAGCTGGTGGACGTGGACAGCAGAAGAGAGTCACCTGAGGGGAAGAGGGTGGAGGGTGGAGCAAGGCTGGAGGGTCTATTGGTGGTGGGTGAGACAATATTAAAATTCAAAAACAAAGACAGCATCCCAAACAAAAACCCTGGGCTCTTAGGGTCAAACTGTCTAAAAAGATTCCCTTATCTTTTGCTGAAGACAGAAGTCCCCAGGATGGCCGGGCAGGCTGGTCTTGTCCACAGTGGTGGCGGCTGAGCACCTAGCAGTTCATGGAATCTTCTGCACAGCACCCACTGATTGTACCTGGCTTCGGTCTCCAGTCTGTTTGGTTATTTCTGGCGAGAAAATTCAGCATGCTAGCTGGGAGTTCTGAGACATTCAAGGCCTTTTACCAACTGACACTAATTTCCTAATTCTAGGCTTATCTCTCTCCACATCTTCCATCCCATCGCCCAGTGATCTTTCTAAGCCACCAGATAGTTTGATCCTATTTCTCCCTGATTACAAATCCCCTGCCACTCCAAATAAACTTGAGGAATTAAATCCTCCATCATTAAATCATGCCTGATCCCTCCCACCAGCCTTGCTCAGCTACTATAAGATCCTTGAAGCTCCAGGAGTGTTCTTGCTTATGGGACTTTGTTTACATGGTGTCCACCCAACTTGTGCCCGAAACACCTACCTTCTTCATTCCTCCTCCTGTTGCTGCCGGATTCAGCTTGGAAGCATCTCATTTAGGAAGTCTCACTGACCGCTCCCACAAAGGCCACTGGAAGTCGTTCACAGACGTACCATCCGCTCTAGGACTGGGATCTCACCTGTGCAAATCAGAATGCACTGGTCATTAACAGGCAGTGTCCACTCTGATTGGTCAGTTTCTCATCCTGATTAGTTGTTGCCTGTGCTATTCTAGTTGTTAAATATTTTATTTATTTATTTATTTATGTATAAAGATTTATTTATTCATACATACAAGAACTGGGATATAGGTCAGATGCGGGAGGGTGAGAAAATTCACCAGAGACAAAGTGGGGAACACAACAGGCAGACTGACGAAATACACCACTGAGGGGAGCAGCGGGCACGACAGGAGAGCTCTGTCGTACCATGTGGGATTCTCGCCAGCCAGCCAGGATCTAATTGGCACTGTAGAGGCTGCAGAGGACAGCTTCACAGCGCTGTGCTCCACTGCCTGAGCCACCAGGGGAGGCCCCTGTTAAATATTTTCAAAATTATCCCTTCCAACGACCTTGAAAGAAAGCATTCAGTTAGTATTTGTTGACTGGATAAGTGACCAATGTGGTCTGGGCTCCAGAGTCACAAAGTGAGTTGGTTTAACAGCCCTGGACTCTGGGAACTTAATCTTAGAGATGATAATCAAGGTTCTTCATCTGTACCTGCAGCTCAGGACTGGAAAAACCTTGCACTGCCCTGAGGTTTGGCATCACCACCAATTGACAGTTTCTCTGGACCACACAATAGCAGATAATTAGAGCCTGAAAGTCTTTAATAACTGACAGTCTCTTTCCAACAGGCTGGCTCTTCCCACACCTGCACCACTAGACGCAGGGAACACCCCTCACTTAGAAGGAAATGCAATCTATGCTTCTTGGGTCAGTGACATTCTGGATCCAGAGGGATCCCTCTTGAGGCCTCGCCTTTACAACTGTGACTTACAGCTCACAATATAGGTTAGCCTCTTAACTGAATGAATTGCAAAGTGCTCCAATTGCTTGAAACGATTATGTACTGCAATCAATATCCTTCCATAAATTGCCTGGAAGAATTGTATTCTAAGTCCAATCTAATCATCGCTTCCATGTTGGAACAACCATTAAAACCACAGTGGCTCTGGCTGAAGACACTCTTCCTCATGGTCCATTAAACCACCAATCTGGGGTCACCCCTGACCCGGTGGAGAATATAAAACAGCCATTGTGGTATGGGTGGACCGTCTTCAGGATAAACACAGAACAAGTCCAGATGCCTGTCTTTGCAATTACGACCGCTCATGCCTCCCCTCCAGCCTTGTCTAGCTAGGTCCGCTCGTCCTCGCAGACTCAAGTTGTCCTCACAGACCACTCATCCCTGCAGGCCCAGGCAGCTGCCCTCCTGGGGATGACAATGTGCTGGGTCTGGGTGTGGCCCGTGTGAGCACTTTCTCAGGGTGTTTAAGAGGCCTATCCAAGTCTTAAATAAGTCAACAGATCAAGAAGCTGCGCTGGTAAGGCTAACACTGGAAAGGCCACAACTGGCACCAACTGCTGTTTGTTTGGTCATGGCTGGAGGATGTAGATTAGCCGTATTTTCCATCCATCTGACAAATGTTTCCTTGGTGCCTGCTAAGGTGCTGTGTGGGTGCTCCCTGGCATAACACACACACACACACACACACACACCATTTTTTTCCAGCAAAATGAGGAATGAAGCTTCACAGGCATCTACACAGCAGAATATGTTCTCTGAAGAGGAGCAAGAGAGACCCTCCTCCTGCCCCGCTCCCCAGGGGCAACTCAGACAAGGTCTAGATTCTGGCTTAGGGGAGAAAAGTGGAGCCAGGTGAGGCCTTGGGAGATGACTCAAAAGACAGGCTTCTGGGCTCTCCCCGGGCCACTCACCACTCCCCCACGCTGGGTTCGGGGGCCAGGCAGTGGGCAGTGTCACAGAACAGCAGCCACGTCCTGTCGGCTGCTGAGACCCAGTCTGGGAGCCACCAGCCAAGGCCCATCACAAGGAGACCTTCCTGCTCAGCCAGCTCATCAGCAGCTGTTGAAAAAAGAGAGCCAAGAAAAGCAAAGTCTTGGATGATGCATGGGCTGCTGTGTCTTTCTCATGTTCCTGTGGATTTTTCAATCGGAAGGAAGAGGCTTATCTCTGAGTTTTAATTGATTTTAGCGAGGCTCAGCCAGGCTAGATCAGATCTCAACTCCTCTGAGGTCCTGATGAATGGTCCTGATGCTAATAAGAGGGGCTGAGGGGCTGAAGAGGGGCTGAAGCCAAGGGGCAACATGGCCATCGAGCACCCGTGAGACTTCCCCTGTGGCCTTGGGCTCCTGGGCTGACCAGCCAGGATGGACCCCGCTTCAGGTTTTAGGGGTGGTGCTGGTGTGAGAATGGGGGTAGTCTGACCTGTAGGTGATGCAGAAGGACCTAGTGCGCCCTTGTAACTACAGCCCGGAGGGCTCTGATTCAATCATGGCCGGGGCACTGCTTCTAGCCCACCGCGCGGTACATCGAACTGCTCTCCTCCTGCCGATTCCCACGGCTGGTGCGCCTCTGAGAGCCTTCCGGGGCCTTTGCAGCTTCTGTCTGCAGCACAGTCAGTACTTGCTGACATCAAGGGTTCCCTTCCCACTTCCCGTCTCATCCCTCCTCACCGCCCCACCGTCCCCCGAAATCTGGTTCGGCTCAGCCTCTCTGCCTGGACTTGGACCAACTGCCACATTCTCTGGTCCTCGGCTCTCCCTGCAGGTGGGGGGCATCTACCAAGGACATTAGAGAAGGCGGCAGAGAAGATAACGCAGGTAGGGCAGCCAGCACCGTGCTCAGAGCACTCACATCCCAGGGGTAACCAACCCCAGCCACCCTCCCCAGCCACCAGCTGAGTCACATAATGGGCAGCAGGAGCTCTGGCTGGTACCTGAGGTGCTCAGTTCCCTGAGCCCTAATCCCTCAAGGTGGCTGGAGGAGGATCAGATGACACTGGCACCCTGCAGTGGGCGGGCTTCTGAGCTCAGCACCCCGGGCCTTTCCACAGCAGGACGCGAGTCTGCCGGTGCTCAGGCAGGAGATGTAATTCTGTCCACCAAGGGTTTGCTGGACGGCACCCTTGGGAGGATAATCCAGAACAGAGGGCACCCTCCTGCACATTGCCAGATGTGCAGAAATAGGGGATCATGGAGAACCCTCTTCTCACACTGACGTCCTCGGGCAGGCACCTGGCCGTCCCACACGCTCCCAGTATACACGCCCATTCGCACGGTGCGTGAACTCCTTCAGCTGCACAGAAATCCTCACGGCGCCACACTCATATCACCACAAACGCCCACAGCCTGGGAAATCTTGGACAGGGTTTGGGACAGTCTTTCTCCTGAGCGAGTCTCCGCCTTGAATCAATCCTCCACAGAGGAGGGAAATCCCAGCGCCTCCCTCTGAGCCATCTCTCTCTCTCTCTCTCTAGTGCCTCAGTTTCCTCATTTCCCACCCATGTGTACCCTGCCCTGTTGAATTTCCCCTTTGTGGGTGGCAGGTGGGAGCACCTGGAGCAGCACCCAGGCCTGGGGACCTTCCCCACCTCACCCCTGCTGGACCAGGATTTTTACCCAGAGGAGCATGTCGGAAGGGGCAGCCCAGGAGCTGAAAGGAAAGTGATGAGCAGGCGGGAAGGGGGCCTCTCCGCCCACTGGCACCCCCCGAGTGGCAGTGTCCTGCAGGACGTCAAGGACAGATGTGTTTTAGGGCGTTGACCAAATGCCTGGGCCTCGGTCATGCAACGGTGACTCAGGGCAGGAAGGAAATGATCACACACCCATTTGACAGAGGAGAAAACTGAGGTCTGGAGAGGAAAGAACTTCATCTAAGGTCACTGCAGAAAACACTGGAGTGCGAGCCAGACACTGCCCAGGCCCCCAGGCCAGGCCCCTCACCCCCACTGCCTCCTTCAGCAGGACCCTGGGAGGCCACCCCGAGATGCTGCTCCCCTCAGCACTGACGCTTCCCTGGCACTGCAGGCCGATGGTAGCAAGGAAGGGAGGGGTGTGACAAGGAGGGATGAGGGGGGGCAGCAGGGCCCTGGGGCCTGGGGATGGTGGTGGAGGCCGCAGGGGCCTCTTCAGCCCCCGCCAGGACAGGCGTGTTTGGGCTGGGTGGGGAGGCTGAGAACTTAGAGAAAGCAGCCAGAACACACACCCCCACCCCGCCATGTCCCGGCCCCCCACCGCACGCGGGCTCCGCCACTGTCCCTGAGCACGCCCAGGCACGCCCGCTCCTCAGCCTCTGCTGTGCTCAGCACACCCTCTTCTCTCTCCCCTCTCCATGTGGTACCCTCCTGACCCTGGGCTCAGCATGCCCCTGCCACAGATCTGAAACCCCAGAGGTGGGCGCCATGTCTGGTTTGCCTCCAGCCCCCCACACCTGGCTCGGGCTTGGAGCAGGTACCTGAGACATGTGGGCAGAATAAATGCTCCAATGGACACAAGGGCCTTAACACAGCACCCGGCAGGGCAGGGCCTCACAAGTATCTATTGAAGTGGAGCAAAGAGGCCCTGAAGGCTGGTTCCTGATGTCACAATGTCCCCATTTGGTCACCACCCCTCCCCCATCGCAGATGCATTCTTCCAGAAAACTGGGAACACTTTGAAGATCCTGCTTTGCTGTGGTCAAATTGCCCTGCCCTGGGCACCAAGCCCCTCAGTCTAAAAATGCACTCCCAGGACCCCTGCACACCCCCAACACACACCTGCCTCCCCTTCTCTCTCCCTCCTAACCTCCCCCCTCCCCAATACACACAGTTCTGGGTGCAAACACCTCGGCTGAGCCTCCCCTCCCCGCCCCCAGCAGCATTAGGGAACCTTCTCAACTTCCCACTACAATTTCAAAAGATGCTGATCTTTGTCAGCTGCATTAATGAATCACAGCCCAGGAGGCGCCAACCTTCCTAAAAATATCTGAGAACCCTCGGTACAGAGAGAGGCTGTGAAGGCGTGTGCATCCCCATGGAGCCAGCCTGCCTGCCCTGGCTGCTTGGGGGGTGGGGGCTCGCCCCCTCTCCTCTGTGGCTCCCTCCTTACCTGCTCTGAGCTCCAGAAGCCGGAATCTCTGGGGGCAATCAGATATCTCCAAGAGAGCATCCAGTTCACCTCTACCATCAAGCTAGGGAAACTGAGGCCCAGAAGGGGGATGGCTAGAGTCTGGGGTTTCCTGGCCCCCAAGGAAGGGCTCTGTGGGGGCTGGGCAGCCCCAGGGGTGGGTAGAAGCAAATGCCTCTGTTTCAGCCCTGGGCTGGGCTGGCTGCCATGTGCCCTATAACGCTGGCTGCCATGTGCCCTATAATGAGCCCTGGTCCGAAGGGGCCGCAGCTACTCCACAGATCCAATAAAGGCCCCTCCAGGCAGAAGTAGCTCACCAGCAGCAGGTGGGGTGCAGGGAGGTGTAAGAGCAGGAACAGGGCACAGTGCAGTTTTTCTGATCCAGCAGACCGGGTCAGGGAGGAGTCAGAGAGTCCTCAGTGGCTTTTGCAGGTATTTTATTGGGATTTACCCGGTACACAGCAGGCAGGGGTGCTGGGGGGCCGAGAGGCTAGCAGTACTCCCAGCCCCCAGCAAGTCTTCACTCTATCTGGGCTCTCCAGCGTTCTCGGCTTCTGCTGCTGCTGACATCCCCATGACACCGCCCTTAAAAGCCGAGTCTCAGCCCAGGTGAATCCCATCCACCTAGGCCCGCACCCTACTCCAGGCGCCCCCCATCAGGCATGCATTCAGGACCGCAGGGTTCCGTCATCTATCCTGATGGCGGGAGGGCAGAAAAGCCTGACATTTTTTCCTTACCCTACGGGAGGTCACACAGGTACCCAGGCAAGGGTGGCGCTGCCCTCCTACAGCACCTTACGCTCCTAGTCTCCCTAGCAGGGAGACTAGGAGCAGCCCCAAAATGGGTTTGGACTTAGTTCTGCTTCTGCTTCTGAGAGAGCGGAATCCATGCCTGTCCTTTCCTGCACAGGGGGCTTCTTCAGGCTCATCCGGCCCTCACTCTTGCCATAGAATCCTGCAGGGTCTGAGCTGCAGCTACTGCAGCTTTAGTCTAAGTGTGGCCCCAGGACCAGCAGCCTCAGCACCATCAGGGAGCTGACTGGAAATGCAGAGTCTTGGGCCCCAGCCCGGACCTGCTGGGTCAGATCCCCAAGGGGCTCTTATGCCCTTTAGAGTTGGAGACACACGACCCCGACCTCTGGAATAACTCAGCATCAGGTCTCCGAGGCAGGACGCCTGTGATTGATGGCACTTGCATCAGATTATTGATTAGCTGGGTGGGGATTGGCGAGGACTGGAATAGGAGTGTCGGAATCCGGGGGAGGGCAAATCTATAAGAAAAGTGGAAATTGCCCCCGCGTTTGGCTGCAGAAACTAGATTCCCAGAGCAGCTGAGTCTGGGGAAATAAAGGGTAAGACCTTGTCTATCCTGCCTTCTCCCTAAGGCTGGGGGCTCCTCTGCTTTGCAGGCCTGGGTGGCTCCCCCTGTGATGGGGTGCTCACTTCCTCTCAGACAGTGGGGTGCACAGAGGTCACTCTGGCAAGACCCCCAACAAGGAGCAGACTCCTCTCTAGCCCCAGCTGGCCTGCCCGCCTGCCTTTGTCCCCTGGAGGCTTTGTCCCCTGGACTGGTGACCAGTCAACCAGTCCTCCCTTCGCCTCCGTACTCCCTGCCACTTCGCTCTCCAGAGTTCCAGAAATAGTCTTTCTGCGTGCAGAGTGTTGTCTTACTTGTCGCTGTTCGCAAAATGCAGCAGTGTTGCAGAGGCCACTCTGGAGGCAGCACTTCTGCTGTGGGGATTCATGTCATCACCCTCTGACCGTCAGACTGGTGAGCACCAGCGCTTTGTCCAGTCAGGAGCACAGAGAGCTGGAGCCCACTGGCCTTCCTAAGCGGCAGAGGATGCAGCGCCCTGGGAACACTGGTGGACTCAGAGACACCACCCCTCGCCACACGCAAGGCCACATGAACCTCAGGGAATGGAGGATAGTGCCCAGGAACCACTGCTGGAGACAGCAGTTGTGCACCAGATCCCCAGCCTTTGCACGCCCCCCCCACCCCACCTGTGGAGCTCCAGACCAGGGTGGCTTCTGCCCTTGGACACCTCCATCTGCCCACACCACAGGCTCCAACTTGCACCTTCTAAAACTGGACTCACCCGCCCTTTCTCCAGCACGATAGCTGAGGCCTGTCCTCACCCGATGGCCCCACTGTGACCCAGGGTCCAGGCTGCAAACCAGGGGTCCTCTTCAGCCCTGCTGCCTCGACTCCTCTGTGCCTCCCGTGGGGTTCTGCGAACTCAGGAGTTTCTGCTAGTGCTACCTGCTTATTTCTCTGTTCTCTGACCTTTCCACTCCATCTTCATTGCCGCTGACCTGATCTAAGTCCTCAACTTTTTACCTGCCGCCCCTCATGCCTCTAGTGTCTCCCCTCTCATCTACCACCCACGGGAATGGCAGTGATCTGTCTGGACTATGTGATCACAGACACCTGCTTGTCTAAAACCCTTCCAGCAATCCCCAAGCCATGGCATCAAGTCCAGTCTCTTCAGTGGGGTCCACGAGGCTCTCGGGAAAGAGCCTGTGTGGTGGGGGAGTAGAGCACTGTGGGCTGTGAGGTCAGATGGCCCAGATCTTGAGATTCTTTGTTGCCCCTCTCTCCCTCCCCTCCAGAAATCTTCACCCCCTTTTGTGTTCCCCCAGAGCCCTACTTCTTTGTCCCCGACACTGGGGACTGTGTTAAGGGTCAGGTCCTGTCCTGCAGCGTCCGCAGCTGTGCAGTTGAACATCAGTAGGTTTCCTGCCCGGTTACTGCTGCCCCGTGGAGCAGAAGGGCTGGCTCTGTCCCGGGCCCCTGACTCCCTGGAAGAGGCGGTCAGGGGCTCTGGGATGTGACTGCTTCTCCAGCTTTGAACGTCAAACCAAGTTACCCTGTGTCTCAATCAGCCCAGGCGGCCACACCATAGCACCTCGTGGGTGACTTCTACAATGGAAATGCGTTTTCTCACAGTTCCGGAGGCTGAAAGCCCCAGATCAAGGTCTTGCAGGTTTACGGTGAGACCCTCTCCTTGGCTCTGAGACGGCTGCCTTCCCTCCGCGGTCTCACCTGGCAGAGAGATGGAGCCAGCAGGTTGTCTGGTATCACTTCTTATAAAGACACTAATCCAGTTGGATCGGGCCCCACCCTGATGACTTCATTTAACCCTAAGTGCTTCCGCTGGAGAATGCTGACTGTCTCTCTACCCTGAGGCCATTGCGCTGGGGGGCTGTGTCCTCCATGCCCGGCAGGTGTGCACACACCGGATGCCGAGCTGGTGGCCAGTTTTACTGCAGCACGCGGCACTGTTTGGGGACACATCTCCAACCTCTTGTGCGGCTGAGTGTAAGTCTCACACCCAGCTGCCTTCCCAGAGTCTAGGGATCTCACAGCCTACAGGGCAGGTGCAGAGAAATCAGGGCTGGGCCCAGGGACATGCAGAGGGCAAGAGTGGCCGCTGGTCTGGTGCCACCCACTGACTCACTGAAGGACCTCAGGCCGCTTCTGACCTCGCTCTAATCCTTACCCTTCCACCTAGTGATAACCCCTTGACCCGCTGAGCTGCTGACAAATGGAGGCACTAGCTGCATTTCTTTTGTTTCACATTTTATTGATTTGCTAATTGCACACATAATTATATAACTTGGGGAAGAAACTTCGCTTCTCCCTGCGTGCACCCCTCCCTGTACCTAAGCCTCACCCCGCCTCCACCACAGCTCCACTCCTGTTATCCTAGCCTGTCGATTCCCTTCTCCCACCTCCCCCTCCAATAAACACTATAGTTTTCACAGAGTCTAGGAATTAATTTTCGTTGTTTTGCCAATTTGTTTTCTTTGGTTATTTGTAGTCCACACATGAATGAAACCATCAAATAACTGCCTTTCACTTTCCCGCTTATTTCACTTATCATCACCCAGGTTCCATCCATTTTGTCCCCAAAGGCACTATTTCATCTTTTTTTTTAAACAGCTGAGTAGTATTTTATTGATTATATACTCCCCAATTTCTTTTATCTATCGGCGGGCATTAATTTGCTTCCATGGTTTAGCTACTATAAATAATGCCGATATAACACAGACTTGCTTAAATATTTTCGTATTAGTGTTTTCATTGTGTTGGGGTAAATACCTAGCAGTGGCATTGCTGGATCATTGGTGTATCATTGGTATATTCTTATTTTTTGAAGAATCACCATAGGGTTTCTCAAAGAGACCTCACCAAATTACATTCCTACCAACAATTAATGGTCACCTGTGGCTGGTGACTATTGTAGTGGACAGTGCAAGCACAGAACTTCTCCATCATCCCAGAAAGTTCTGTTGACAGTGCTGCACTGTTGCCCAGTGAGTTTGAGTGAGCCCAGGAATGACCTGGGGTCTTGTTATAATGCAGGTTCTGGTTCAGAGGCAGGCGAAGGGGCAGATCTGGACACTTGCAAGCTCCCTGTGGCTGCTACAGCCCAGCTGAAC